CAAAGCTGTCTGAATAGCTTTTAATTACAAGGCTCAATTGCTCTATTTCCTCTCAGAAAAGTATTACAACTATCTAACAAAGCTCTTCGAGTGGAATTAAGCACTAGTCCAAAGCTTCAAGGGCTGTTTAGTGGCTATTTCCCCCTTTTTAAAAATTATTTGATGTCTAGATAAAAAACAGGCATTCCCGTAAGCGCCTGCAGCCAAGTCTGGATGAACAGGGAGAGGCTGGAAAGCTTTTCCAGGAAGGAGGTGAGCAGCCTGGGCTGCTTCAAAGGTTGATGGTGGCCCTGCTAAAGCACCCCACCACAGCGTCCCCTCGCTGGGCAGGGGTGGAGGCCCTGGGTGCTACCACCAGCATCCCACATGGGAAGGAGGAATTCCCAGAGAAGGGAAAATAAACAATATTTTGGGAGTAAGACCTTTGATAGCGGGCAACCGTCCCCATTTTCAGTTTTCCTGACATGTAATTTCTTTCTCTGTCTTTCACCAGGACTTTGGTACAACCCCATCATCTCCCCTTGCTCCACCACTTCCCCTGCACAGGCGCCCTGGGAGACCGTGAGGTCCAAACCATCCACTGTACAGAACTCAATAAGGCAGCTGAATAAGGAAAACGGAGAAATAAGGATTCAGTTTCATAAACTTAACCCTCAAATGAGATCAGAGGCTTGGTAATTAATAAAGTCAGATTTTAACGCAACGAAAAACCTCCCCTGAGACTCAGCCTGCTGCTGCCTCGTATCGATGGAAATGCTACGGATGTAATTACATTTCTCTTCGCCGTGCGATGGAGACAGTGGGTCGTTCTCAGCCAAGCTCCTTCCTTCCAAGCCGACCATAAGCTGGGGAGATGAGGCTGATGGCAATCGTTTCACAGTGAATGGGGTGGGTCAAAGCTGATGGCTCATCCTCCTCATACAGGATCCTGGCAGTCAGCCCCAGGGCAGAAGAAAGGCTCAGTGGCATCACTAACACACCCTCATCAGAAGACAAGAGGCAGTTTTCCAGCTGAGCACATTCAAGCTAAACCCCAATGCAGATGCCAAAGCAAACTGCGGGGACAGCAGCCCTGGTTGGCTTTCCATACCCACCTCCAAGCTCTTTTTCTCATTTTCTGCTCTTTTACACTTAATCCCTGCAAGCAAGTGATTATCCCCAGGAATTTTCTCTGTGGCTAAGCAGGGCAAGAGCAGCGCGAGGCTGAGATGAGGGAAAGGCCAAAATATGTGAACGAATGACCGGTGCACGCGGAGAAGTTGCTATTAATGCCTGACGTTGAACAAACATTAGACGGCCAAATCACAACACGGGATTCATTTCACACAGAGGAAATCAAGCCGAAAAGCCATTAATCTTGATTTCATATTGACTGCATAGCTTGTGTTTTTTTATTCCCCGTCACCGAATGAATCAGCACGGCATGAGCTTTTCGGAGCACTCACTGCACATGGCAGACTGAAAACACACAGAGAAATCAATGTTTATAGAATGGCCAGAGCCAGCTCAAACTTTCCCTGGTCTCCTCTCTGCGGCCAGGAGAAAGGTGATCTGATGCAACCAAAAACCTGCCCGTGGGGAGATGTTAATTCCGTCAGTGGTTTCCTCGGAAAAAAAAATAAAAATCAAGTTTCCTCCTTGGTTTCTTGCAGATTCATCCTTCACTTCACTACGCTGAAAATCTGCTGGTTGGCAGGGCTGGTGCTGCTCAGATTTTGGCTGCAGCCCATCCTGCCTGGCTGCTGGCCCGGGGGGGAGGGAAGCAGAGGATGCTCTCCCGGACCACTGCAGGCAGGCAGCAGGACTCCATCCACACAGGAGCTACATCCCCTCACAGCAATAACAAATACTGGAGGAAAAACACCTTTTGCTGCAAGAATGGGATGGTTGGATAGGTTGTGAGATCTCCCAGTAATAGCATGGGCTCCACAGGTAGGATTTCCCACCCGGCACCTACATATGGCAAAAGGCACAAGGATTTGAGAGCAAAGCAGGAGCAAGAGGTTCCTGTATAACACCACGCTATATGGACCCACAAGTGATCCACCCTGCTCATTATTCAGGAAGATGCCAGCATGGAGCCATGGGGGTTTGCTCCTGCAGAACCTTCCAGGAGCTTAACCATGGGAGGACCAAATTCCCAAGATGTTCTCCAGGGGGGAAGAAGGTGACCCCAGCCAGTATTGAATATTACTGTGCACTTTCTACCCAAGGGAGCATTTAGTAAGTTTTTGGGTTGCTGAAGCAGAAATCCTGTGTGTAGCAGGAGAAGCAGCAGGTGGGGTAAGGGCTGTCTGTGTCCCCCAGCACTGCAGAGAGAGCCAGCATCACTCCTTCCCTGCAGACAGCTGGGATTTCACTGCATTAAGGGAGAGAGAGAGCAAAGTCAGTTTACATGGTTGATTAGCATCATCGTTGCCATGATACATAACCATGTTGCTCTATTTATTGATTATTTCACTCTGTCATGCAATTTATCCAGGCTTCAGGTACTGAAAAAAGGAACAAAGGGAGTCTAGGAGCCATGGGGCTCTTCGACCTAAAGTGCACCCACACCAATAGCAGTCCCTTTGTTTGAAAAAGTCCTTTTTTTAAAATGAGTTATGGCCTTAACACCTGTTATCATATGTTTTGGGCAAAGGCAGCATGTAGCCCCAATCTAAAGGGGCAAGAGGACATGTTCATGTGGCCACTGTGGGCCATTCAAAATAGATGTGCATCAGCTCAGCTGTGGCAAGAAGGAGTTATGGATCCTGTAACACTGCATCCCTACCCCCAAAAATATCCTATCCCAACACCCATTGGCAACAAACAGCATATGGTCTACTTTCTTGTAATCCATCTCAGTTCTTCATGCAGCACCATGACCCTTGGGTTATGGGCCTCAGGTCCACCTTCCATTTTCTCCACCTTCTCACAAGCCTTTTTCAACACTAAGCTGCCACACTGTTCCCTCCTGCATCCTTCTCTCCTCCCATCTCAGTTTTGTGGTTCTCCTTAGCACAGGAGAAGGCTAGGAATAAGAACTGGTCCTTCAGACAGCCCTGGGCAGGGCTTGGGAGGTGAAGATCAGGGGTGATCTTCAGCTGATTCTGCAGAGTCACAGCGACGAAGCTCTGCCGTCACCGAGACTCACATGGAAACAGGATGTGAAGCCATGAATGCACAATGAGGGCTACAGCTCAGGATCTGTCCGAAGGAGGTTCTCCTTGTGGAAGGAAGGAGAAATTTGTTTATGCATAAACAGCCACAAAAATAGCTGAAGGAAAGCACAGGAAAATGAGTGGGAAAGCAAACTGGAGGTTTTTTCTGGCAGAGCCCACTTTGTTGCCAGGCTGAGACCCTCTTTTGAGCAGGTAGGAGAGGGTGCACCAGGACCAGCTGCTTCTGGAGACCCTTCTCATTTCATTGCAGGGTGGGAAGCATCTCCCTCCGGGCACACCTTGTCCTACCCAGCAATAACATCCCAAAGTACCCAGAGAGAGGTCACAGCCCAGTCACAGCTCTTTGAGGCATTAACAAATCTTCCCCTGGGGGAAAATAAATAAAAAAAAAAAAAGAAAGGAAATTAAAAAAAGACATATTTACAGTCTAGCTCCTCATGAAATCACCTTGGAAAAAGATATATAGCAACTGCTCAGCATCAAGTAGTGTCTTCATCAGGGCAGGTCCCAGGCTGCAGAGCAATGGGCACCACGTGGGGGAAAATGCAGCTTTTCTCTTTCTGCAGTCAGGGTTTTTTGTTTTTTATCACCTGCTAAAATCTCCTTCAGCGCTGGGGGCCGGGCTCCCCGGGGGACAGGGTCATTGGGTGCTCGTGACAGACTTTGTGGCTCCTACAGGCAGAGGGCACGAGGAGGGTGCTCAATACTCACCCAAACCAACTAATCTCAGTCTGACCTGTAGCTCGGTAAAGGATAACTCAGCACTTCCCTGGGTAAGCTCTTCCCATGGCATAAAACCATCCAAACTTCAGTGAGGCCGCAAATTCTGCACTTTATTTCTGCTTTTAGAAATCAGGAATCGTGCTGGGGGGAAGCTGTCAGCTGAACAGCCTGGGCAGGGGGAGATGTGGCATCAGCAGAGCAGAGCACCCTCAAAAGCCAGAGCTTAGCCCAGTTGTGCCGGTGCCACCAGCCAGAAGCTCCTCGGGAGAGAGCTCAGACCCTGGCTCATCCATTCCTTGCCTTTTCCAGCAGCTGATTCCAGCCAGCAGCAGCAGGGAGAACACTTAGTACATTAATAAATCCCATAATACTGAATAAAGCACTTTGGTTTATGGTTTCGCTATAAGAACTCACCCCTGGGTACTTATAATTAACTGAACTAGAAAAGAAATAAAGATTTCTATTTTTTTTCCTACCAATTTTCTTTCTTCTTTTTTTCTTTTTTTTTTTCAAGAAAAAGAAGAAAATCACTACTGTTAATAAAAACCCCTCTCCTTATATTTACCTGCCTGAGTAGGAATATTGATCTTTGTGCAGAGAGAAGGCGCTTTCCTTATTGCACAACTCACCGGTTAATCCATCTTTCCTGGCTACAGAATATTGCTTTGGCTTTGTTTCCAGAGCAGCCTCTGTCATTCATTGTTCTCCATGATCGTGCCCGACCCCGTAACTCCTGGGAAGTGCATGTGGGAGTAAATGGGAAGAGTCCAACATCAGACTTCACCTCTGAGAGCAGGCAGCTGCCCACATCCCTCCCTCCTGCGATGCCCAGAGCCGCCGGAGAGGCTGGAAGGGTGCAGGCAGCTCACACTCATCTCCCAGCACCAATTTTCAAGCATTTCCACATCTTCTGTTCCTAGTTTGCCTGCAGACAAAGTTGCCACTGACCTCAAAAAAAAACAACAAACAAACAAAAACCCCAAGGATTGGGTGCTCTGGTGTTATTACCTGTGCTCAGCGGTGGTTTTCCTGGAAAAACAAGCCCACGTGCACAGATCCCGACAGCGCCGAGGTGGGAATACCACGCAGCCAAGTCTTTCAGACTCCACATCATTCAAAGTACAGGGGTTTTTATTTTCCTTTATTAAAGCACACAAGTAGCCACCTAGGAAATTGTCATTTACACCGCGGTAACTGCAAAATCATACCAACACAACCATTTCAGAAGAGAAATAAAGAGCCTGCACTTCAGCCAGCCAGCCGACGGCAAGCCTTTAACTCCATAGGCACAGTACAATAAAGCTTTTGCTCTCAGGTTTTTGTTGCTCCTCTTATAACAAACTCCACTGAGCATTGAACAGAATGCCTGAACACATTCACTGCAAGGGCCACAGAATTACCCAAAAGCTTAGTAAACGCACATTTATTGAGTACTTGATTATGTAAGATCATTGCAGCATAGTCATTTATAACAAAATCCTTATTAAAAAAAAAAACAAACCAACAAACAAAAAAACAACCACCAAACACCGGTATATATTTCAGAGGACATAAATCTATTTAAAAACCCAACCAAGAACTACAAAGGGAGGGTGGCTGGTCCTTAGCCAGCCACTAACGAACGCTCTCCTGCTCCCTAATGGCACTGCAAGAAAAGCCCAGCAGTTGGTTCCCAGCTTCATGTACCACCACATCCAGTTCTCCATCAGCCCCTGTGGCCACTGACGAGCTCAGAAGACCCAAGGTTGCCCACTGACCAAGGCTGTTATTGGACCCACCAACACAACAGCCCACCAAACTCATCCTTCCAGGGGCATGGATGCAGCTTGCCAGCAGCGCGGTTCCTGGGGAGTTCTTCACATGCTTGGGGGTCGTATGAGATTTCCTGGTGAGTGCTTGGGGAAAAAACATCCATTGCAAAGTGCTTAAAGTGCCCAGATTTCCTCCTCCTCCCCCTGCCTTATTCAGGAGGAAGCGCTAATTGCAAAGTTTGCTCTGGTATCCCTCCAGATTCCCAATCAAATGCTAATCAGCATGAAATTCCTCCCAGCTTGAGCAGTTTACAAGGGATCTGGGTCCTATACATGGGACACTGGAATTGCATCTACATTTTAAGCCCAACCATGAGGGAGACACTCTACATCGAAATAGAACATCGGAGTCTTTTGTACAGCATATATAAAGAACATGACAGCATTAAAGTAGTGGCAAATCAATACATTAAAAAATACAGAATTCTCATAGACCAGAGCACAAGGAATATATTCACATGAAATCTGTACAGTCCGGACAACGCTGCCGGTCCTCGCGTTGGGGCCCACCTCCTGTCTCCAAGCAGAGGTCATTGCTTTGCTTACCCATCAGCATCACTGCCCAGCTTTCCCCAGGAGGGTTTTGTGCTACAGGGAGGATACAGAGTCTGCTGTCCCCGCCAGCACGGAGGGCACTCAGTGGTTAAACTCCCCGGGAAGGCTTTCATTATCAAATGACATGACAGGGCATTTCATTTTACAAAGCTCTGGCCCACTGGGAGAGGAAAATCAATCTCTGGTTAGCAGGAGGGGTGGTACCTCGGCAGCATTGCCCAAGTGCTCGCAGTTATCGTGGATCTCATTTCATTAAAAAGAAAATAGAAAAAAAAGACAACACGAAAAAACCCCAAAACCCACCTTTTGTACGGTTTGTGCACCGTTTATCTCACACGGAGCAGGTGGGACTGTTTTAGGCTGCCCCTCCTACCAGAAATGTCCGTGTCTTCTGGAGGAGCTGCTGTTCTGACTTCTCGGAAATGGCTTTCCCCTATACATAAATTCATGTATATATAGGCCACTTCATTCCTTCCTCCTCTCACTGAGGAAGAACCCGAAGGCATGCTCGGCAAGATGAAATCCTAGGTTATAGCTGTACCTATAGCACGACAGAGGTGTGTATATACAGACACATTCTGTCCATTATTACAATGGAAATAGAGTTTGTTTTTTGTTGGTTTTTTTTTAAAAAGCGATAGCAGCATGTAAACAAGGATTTGTGTTCATTGTGTTCATTTCATCCATCTTTCCTTCCTCCTTTTCCGAGCTACATTCATCAGTTTTGACAGTCCCTTCTCACCCCCCTGCTCCCCTCTCAAGGAGGAGGGTTTCACTGCAGACCCCGTCCACGGGAGCCGACATGGTCCTCCCCAAGCTCCCAGCCATGGGGTGGTTTGAGTTTCCCTTTCCACCAGCTCCCTCCTCTCCCTCCCCGCATCCTTCCTTCCCTTCCCGATGACTCATCCTGGAGATGATCTTGGGTTTGTTGTTTTTTTGTGTGTCTGACGGCTGCTGCCCACTTTGGCTTCAGCGAAGTCTAATTTCAGAGCAATGCCGCAGGAATAAAACCTGCACCCGAGTGCCTGGTGAGCCACATGAGTTGTTAGCACCTTAAACAACTCAGAGAGGAAAAAAAGAAATGGAATAGTTTGCATTTTGTCTGTCTCCCGGCAGCAAAAGTGAAAGTCCCAGGAGCAATGCCTGTTTTAAACCCTTTGTTCCCAAATTCTCAATAATGTTGCAAACCACCAGGGTTTTGCAGGAATCAAAGGGCTGATTTCAAGCGCATTCCTCAGTGCAGGATGCACTGGAATTAAAAATGCATCAAATGGGCTCACTTTCTCTGCATGCTCTGGCAGTATCCGGTTTTCCCAACCCCCAAAATTGTTTCCTTGGTTTCTCGCCTCACAGTTTTGAGGTCCTGCTAAAGAGCCGTTATCTGAGTCAGCTCCGACGTGGGGGTGGTTGGACTCTGCTGAGCGACAGCCACCATGGGAATTTCCATGCCTAGTCAGGCCGGATTGTTAGTCCCCTCCGAGTTCTTGCAGGCATAGGCCACATCCTTGGCGATGCTGCACATCCTGTTGGACATCTGGAGCTCCGTCCTGAAGGCGGTGGGGAAGCAGAACTTCTTGAAGCACGCCTTGAAGTTCTCGTCTAAGAAGGCGTAGAGCACGGGGTTCAGGCTGCTGTTGGCATAGCCCAACGCGGTGCAGAAGCAGGAGATGGCCAGCTCAAGCTCGCTTTCTGCCTTGGCACCCAAGCACTGGACCAGCACGAAAATCTGGATGGGAGTCCAGCAAATGATGAAGACTGCCACCACCACCAGGACCATCCGGGTGATGCGCCTCAGGTTTCGGTCCTTCTCCTTGGAGCCTGAGAGGACACGGACGTTCTTGAGTCGTCTGATCATGAGACTGTAGCAAATGGTGATGATCAACACGGGGATCATAAAGGAGAAGAGAAAGACACAGATGCCAAACACTGGATCCCAGTAATCCACGGGTGAAGGCAGTTTAATTAGACAATCAATTTCTGCAAGTGAAAAAATAAAAAGGAAAAGAAGATCAGCAAACCCACATCAAGAAGAAAAGCTTCTGCACATTCAGCTTAATTTAATGCTAGAAAAGCAGTAGCAGAGATGCAGAAGCAAGGACAGAAAGCAAAGAGGTAAGATACAGCAGAGAGCTCACCACACTGGTGAAACTGGTAGCCCCCTCCAATGACTCCCCAAGCCCATGGACTCTCCTGGCCACCTCCCACCCATTGGATGCATTTCTACCCACCGTTGTTCTCATTCTCTGCAGAGCCCATCACCATCGCTGGGATGCCAAAGACAGAAGCCAGTGCCCAGATGCAGACGTTCACCACCTTGGCCTTGTGGGGAGTGCGGATGTCCAGTGCTTTGATGGGGTGGCAGATGGCAATGTAGCGGTCCACGCTCATCATCGTCAGGGTGAAGGTGCTCGTGAACATGTTGTAGTAGTCTATAGAGATGGCAATCTTGCAGAGGACATTGCCAAAGGGCCAGAAGCCCAGGAATGTGTCTGTACCCTGGAAGGGTAAGGTCATCAGACACAAGGTATCAGCCAGAGCGAGGTTAAAGATGTAAATGTTGGTTGCCGTCTTCATCTTGGTGAATCTGAAATGTAGGAACGAGCAATGATTAGAGCTCCACCTGACCACTGAAGAGGGCATCCTACCACTTTAGGAAGGAGATGGTGTATTTTTCTTATGTAACAAGAGATTCCGGTTTCCTTTGGTAAACACTTACCAACACACAGCTCAACCCAGCTCCTACAACAGTACAAACGATGCCTTCACAACCAGTTCCATGGGCAGGAGAAGCTTATTCCCTCAGACTGCAGGCGAGGACCATGACAGCCTGAGGCCGTCAACTCGGACCATGGCTTTTGAAAAATGACTTCAGTGAGGCTAATCTAGGATTTCATCGCATATGGCTTCATTATTATAAATATTGGTGAGAGCTTTATGCGGTAAGCTGATTTGAAAGGCATCATATGTTCCAGGGGTAAGTTGATTAGCCATTTTGTATGGGCTCATAGCCAAAGACTATAGCTAATGTGAGCTATCAAATCAGAATGGGCAAGATGGTCAGCCAACAACTGGTGAGGGATGAGGTTTGTATCAGAAATCAAAATATCACTATGGATCTTCCTAAAGAAAGGGGCAGTTTGCAGATAAAGTCATGAGTCAACTCTACTTCAAAGGGCTTCTGTCATTTCTACATTACTTTTATCACATGAACTGACTGCCCCAAAAGAAGATTCACCTTGCTCTAATGGTAATCATCTCCTTTTTACACATGGGAAATGATGCAAAGAAAGATGCGATCATCTGCCCGTTGATACATGCAGAGTCTGCAGAAACACAAACTCAGTGGTGACTCTATGACTGAATCTAACACTTCAGCTCCAGGATGTTCCTCTTGTGGGCAAAATAGGAGCTCAAATAGGTATAATTTCAAAACTCCAGTTCATCTATCATTTACTACACTAACAGCTTCTGCAGCAATGCTGCCATAAATGGCAGACAATGATGTGTATTATTAACGGAGGGCAAGTTCATTTGAGGGTAACACTTAAACCCATAAACTGCTGCACTATTTGCAGTTTGATATGTGTTGGAATATTATGGGGTCTGATCTGACCTAAAAAAAGCTCTTTTTGTCAAATTGATTCAGAACAGCAAACCCACAACTGCACTCCTCAGCACTGTACATCCCCTCCCATCTCCTCCATGATCTCCAGCTCTTGATACATTATTTGAGCATTTGGAGGAACATTATCACTGCCACGCTCTGAACTCTGTTGAGACACAGGGTGACATAACCAGGTTTGCAAGAATAACAGCCAGGGGATCCACAATCCAGAATATAAAGTCCATTTTTTTTACCCCTCTCAGAACTTGCATTAGAAGACAAATATTTGAAAGTGGCTTCAGAAAGCAAGAACAAGCCATCCTACATTTGACCTGGAAAGCCAAGAGAATCTTTTGGAGGAGGAGATGAACATCAATGGAAGCACTTGATGTCCCCACATAAACATAAGTCACCTCCTCCTGACCCAAAAATCCCAGCAACCAATTAAGACAAGGGGTTCTTAGAAAGCCAGCCCAGATCAGGTAAACTTATACCTCTATCACCCATCCAGCATCCATCAGGGACAATGTTGCCTCCATGGACACCCCTGTCCCGTCACAGTGAGAAGTTTGGGGCATCTCAGCTAATCCTGAGCTTGGGGTGTGAAGGTTGTAAACCTTCAGCTCCCTCTTTCTTTCCCCTCCATCCCAGGGGACCTTGCTGGTCCTTCTCCTCCAAGAGACCTCTCTGCAAGGACTCAGAGTCCAGGTGCAATTGCTCAGCCTGGACATGCAAAATCCTCTCTCCCCATTGCACAGATCCCTCTCTGCTGCCCCTTTCCTCACCCACTCCCAGGTGATGGCAGAGCAACCTCCGACATGAGGACACGCTGAGGTGGCTGGCCCACCACTTACCTCCTTCAGCCCACCTTCAAGTGGATTTTAAAGCTGATTTTGTGCTCTCGAAAGGTGGGGAAATTAACTTACACCTAATTAATTACTTCTAGCTCCACTTTCCCTGCACACTGAGAGCCAACAACCATTTCCCCAACCAAGCAATGTTCCCAAACATTTCCAGAATGTTCAGTACAAACAAAAAAAATCAATTAATCATTTCTCTGCGGATTAACCTCTTTTTCTTTTCCTCCGGGAACTGAGAGTGTTCTCTTTCTTAATCCGCACCAAAAAAAAAAAGACAAATTAAACTCTTAGGTGCCTCCTAAAACCCAAGGTTCCCCCCCACGGCCCAGCTCCAATGCGGAGAAGCCTGTGGCCTCCACGGAAGACATTAGCTTCCCGCTAAGCCACTTTCTTGCACTTGGTCACGGAGGCAATTTCCTAATGGATCATCTCCCACAGGGTGGCTCTGGCAGCTCTGGCCTCTCCATCCAGCTCCACCTTGGTCACAGAAGTAATCGCTTTGCTCCCGCTCCCCTGTTCTCCCGGCTGCCGAAGCCCGAGAGGAAAAACATCTGTGTATCAGCTCAGCACTCAGCTCCCCCTCCTTTTTTTGCTAAGAGGATCTCAAGCAGCGTTACCTGGGATGACAGTGCCTGCGCTTCAGTGAGGGGAACCCAGTTTGGGAGAGGAGGAGATGGGTAGGAAACAGCTCTACAATGTACCAGGCTTTGAGGTCCCATTTTTCACAAGGACAGACTCTGTCACTGGCTGAGCCTCAGGGTGAGCTGCAAACCTGTTGTTTCAGCATCGCTCCCTCCTTCCCACCCAGCTCCGGATGCCCCAGGGCTACAGAACAGCTGGCTGCAGCAAAGCTAGAACCCAAAATGGGGCTGCAGACACCAGAGGGACCAGAGCAAAGCCTTCAGCCCTGTGGGAACAGTGAGTGTTATCTCCAGGACCTCTCTGCCTCTTGGAGCATCTTGATTTTGATATTCATAGCTCCGGCTCATCAGGATGCAGACAATGCTGTTCACCTTGAGCAGCTCCCTCCGTTCCTCCCCACACCCTGGCACCAGTGACAGCCTCTGCCTCCCTCCCCCCACACCCTCAGTAAGTAAAACAGAGCAGAAAAGGCTCAGGGAGGATTTTTGCCTTCCCAGGGTGGAAAATCAGCACCGGTTCAGCCATCTCTGCTCCCAACCTGCTCCTAGCCCAGGGGTTGTATGAAGCTGATATTTGATCTGGCACGTTCCATCGTGATTTCTGTCCTCCCAGCCACACACCCACACTGTGCTCTGTGTCCCTGCCGCTCCGATCACCTTTGCAGAGCCCCCTCATCCTGAAATTACCCAATTCAAGCCAGCTTATGCTTAATCGTTTAACCAGAGAAAAAAAAAAAATCCCCCACCCTCCCAGAATTTAAAGACAAACATAAATCACTTTGGACTATGAAGCCAGACTTGACAGCAACACCAGCACTTAAAAGCCTCTTAATTATCTGGCAGGACAGTGACTGACTAGCAGGGGTTAAGGAGTCTGCCGCCAGCCAGGGCAAGCAGCAAGGCTTTGGGAGAGATGATTTGCTTGCCCTTTAAGTCTTCCTGCCATGTCTGGGTGATACTGGTGCCCTCCCTCCTCAAGGTTCTCTTTGGGGACCAGCAGAGATGGGGACATTGCCTGGCCCCAATCACTGTCTTGCCAAGGGAAGAGGCTGGGTGGCTGCACTTCCTGCCATGTCTGGGTGATACTGGTGCCCTCCCTCCTCAAGGTTCTCTCTGGAGACCAGCACAGATGGGGACATTGCCTGGCCCCAGTCACTGTCATGCCAAGGGAAGAGGCTGGGTGGCTGCTGCTGCAAAAGCCTCTGCAACTTGCCCGTGGGCTCGCAGGGATGCTCACGCAACCCCAAGCAGGTACATGGCCACCATGAATGGTGCTTCCATCTAAGGATGAGATGAGATGCATCATTCACAAGCTGGATCTGCCTCTGCTGAACCTCTCGTGTCCTAAATGCTGCTGGGAATTGCCCCAGTCCCTGGGAAAACCACCGGGAATCAGGTCCCACATCAAACATTACAGAATTACTGCTGCACATGAGTAATTCCATTCCACTCATCCCACTGAAGCCAGGGGAAACCAAGAGCCCCCCCAGCACACACTGGAGCTGTGTTGGCAGTGGCCACACACGGCTGCCATGAGCCATGTGGCTGAGCCCAGCACAGAGCCCTTGATATAGGTTTCCTTTCTCTACAAGTGCAACAATTCTCTTGTTTTTTGGGTTTTTTTTGCCAGGAAAAATGAAAAGAGGCTGATCTGGAAAGAGTTGAGATCTCAGATGGCCCCACTGGTGTCCGCTGGGTCCACACTGTGTTAAACACTCACTCAACTTCAGCTCCGAGACACACAGCTGGTCAAGGATTTTCCCTTAGAGAGCTTTCTATTAAGAAATCAGCATCTCTGCAGTGTCACAATTAACTTAATTTTCCCTGTCATTACAGCAGCTGCCCTCACCCTTATTCTCAGGGATTGATGCAGTTTTCGAGCAGAATAATGGCTGGCACAGCCCTCCCCAGGCAGTTGCCCTGTGCAGGGACCTCCCCATCACATCCCTCCTCCTAAAGAATCCCCTGGAAGCAGCAAGTGTAGGAGCCTGACAGCCCACATGTGCCTAAACAGCTTCTTAAAATGCCTTGAAACAGTGTTCTTCAATAGGAACTTCTTATTCTTCAATAGGGTGAGCTGAGCATCTCCACTACTTTGCTGGGCTCCCAATAGAGAGCAAAAAAAAGTGCCCCAGAAATGTGGCATCATTCCCATGGGGGCCTGATCCGGGCAAGAAGAGCCACCTTGGAAGATGGGAGTCCTCCAGATTGTCACCAGTGAGCATCGCAGCAGCACGACAGAGCAAGGGACACCAGAGGACTTCCTGGGCAAGAATTTACATGTTGTCCCTGGTCCATTCCCTGGAACATCAGTGGAGACTGGGGGGTCTCTGTCACACCCCACACAGCAACACTTGGGTCAGCATCACCTCCAGCCCCACGGGCCATGGGTCATCCACCCCCAGGGCCATTGCAAGAATGATTTATCTCCTTCCCCCTTTGCTTTTCTTCCTAAAAACAAAACTCTCAGGCATCCAAGCCTTGCAGCAATCTGTTAATAGATAAGAGGGACCTCAGCAGCCCAGTTTCCCCCCATTCTCCCCTCGAAACCCTCTCTGCCTCGTGCTCTTCAACTCCTTGTTTCATCATTCATTAAAAGAGCAGTACAGGAAATATGTGCAGAAGAGAGCAAACAGAGCAGGAGGCGAAGGAGGGAGGGGAGACATTGTCTCCACGGGTGAGGAGCTCCACAATGAGCAGCAGAACAAAGCCCCAGATGAGGCAGGTTCCCACAATAGGCCCTTTACTGTCCAGGAAATCGTGTTCCTGACGAGAGCCCTTCTCGGTCTTATCCAATTAGTGCTGCTCAGCATAAGAAGGGGATTGACAGTCACACGATGACTGTCTCTATAAATTAATCATTCCAAATCTTAAATCACTCCAAATATAATAAAGATGTAGGCTGGGTTCTACAAGAGAGGGGAAAACCCAGAGGATGCCTTGAATTCCTATTTTTGTGTGAAATACCGGGAGATTTTAAACTTTTCCCTCGGTGCCACAAAAAACTCATTCAAGAGGAACAAAAAAAACCAAGCCTTCCTGATGCCTCCAATTTCCTCGAGTGCTGATTTAGAGTCTTTGTATTTCCCAACTCCCCCTTAAACAGGAAATAATTATTGCCTACGTCACTGTACCATTCTTTTTCTGGAAGGTAATACACCAGTTTCTTATAGGTTGCGTAGCATGCTGGAGTCTGGTTATCCCTAGTGAAATATAAGCATGGAAAGGAAAAAAAACCAGCTTTTGTAGGGTGCACCATACCCACAGGTGGTAGAGGTGCAGCTCAGAGGGTTTGCCAGTCTTTTTCCATTAATGGAAGAGATCTGACACTAAGAGTCCCAAAGCCCCACGTTGACTTACCAGCAACCAACATTCAACCTACTTATAAAAAAGATGCTATGAAGCATATGCTATGCTTTATGAAACCCAGTAGCACCAATGGTCCAATTTGGGGAGAAAACTGGACCATTGAGAAGCCATCAACATCCTCCTTGCACGGCCACTAATTTGGTAGCTGAGTGAGTCCGTATATATGGCCAGGGCAAAGAGTTGGAGATACTGAGTCCAGTTTATCACCAAACCTGCTCCTGACCTTAGCAGACAGCGCAAGGAGAGAAAAAATCCTGGGCAGAAATAACCAGAAGTTGCAGTTACTCACCAAATAAGGGAGGGTAATTTCCCTGGGTCTCACTCAGTGTTAGCCTCAGCCAGTACTGCTGAGCTCCCAGGAGACACTGATGGAGAGAAATGGGAGCTTCTGCATGTGTCCTAGCTCAGTTAGAACTTCCCCAGCACACGTTATTCAAGTCACCTCTCCAGGTTCACAAGTTTTTGGGGAAAACCGTAAGTGAATCCCCAAGAAGGAGCACCCAAAAAATTAAAGCTTCTATTAGCTCTTTTACATGTATAGGGATTTACTGGATAAAAGGGGAAAGAGGAGTGGAAAAGGCCTGTGGAAGATGGTGGGTGACACATCATCAGTTTTCAATTGCTCAGAACCAGCAAAATCTGAGGACACACACAAAAAAAGCTAAGTTCCATGGGAAATTCCAGTGCTAAATCCCACTTTCCTTTCTTGGGTCACATTTATCCAACTGGAAGGTATGAAAGCCAAAAAAGGAGCAGACTACAAGCCACCATCTGGAAAGCGTAGCCCCACTTAACCATGGCACAGGTCCACCTTGACCAGGATGCCGGTTCGGGACCTTCATACTCTTGGTGATCCACGGGTCACAGCCCCAGACAGACACTGGCAGGGTCCCACAGGACTTTTACAGACAGGGATAAGATTTCTGCCAAGGTTTCTCCTGACACACCTCTAAGGATCACGCCTGGGGCATGGACTGCAGGCACGCTGGCTGGTGTTCCCAGGGAGCTCCATCACCGTGGGACAAGGACTTCTCACTCCCAGAGCCTCACTACCCACCATACACATCCACAAACACCCTGCCTACTCAAGGGATGGCTACTACACCAAAACAAACACAAACTCTCCAAACGTGGCACTGCTGCTCTGCAAACCCCCTTTCCCCATCCCCAGACTCCCCAGGGCTCACGGGATCCCTTCTCCCTGCCATAAACTCCCTGCCAAGAAGAGCACAGACAGGCGTCCCGATGAACAAGTCACATCACTCTGCCCTCACAGCAGAAATTTAGCTGCCATCTACCAGCCCATGATACCAAAGACTTCATTTTGCAGCATCTCCCCCAGCCGAATTTTGTGTATTCAAGGGAAAGATGCTTTGGAAGCAGCAAGGCTCCTGGCAGGAGCAAGACTTAATCTCATCAGTGCCTGAATACCTGCTAAATATTTTTGTCCTCTCTTGGAGGAGAAAACAAATTGATCCTGGCTTTTTTGTGCTGGCAGCATCCACCTGCACCAGGATTCTGCTCCGAGACGTGGAGAAAATGGAAGCTCACTCCTAATGTACAGGGTACAGAGATCCGAAGGGGGTTTCTGGGCATTTGACACAGAATCACAGCCCTAATGGGTATTTTGTACTTACGGGGGGAAACAAGGTCTCTATTTCCAAGAAACAGAGTGTTTTGACCCTCAGCAGAACTGGACAGGGACACCTAAAATGCCAGGAAGGTGCAGGGAGGCTGGAGAGGTGCTGGCTCCGTGCTCTGTCCCTCTGCAAAGGTCTCCCCCTGCTCCCCCAACTTCAGCCTTGAGGAGCCATCATCTCTGCAATGTCCTGTCGCACCTTATTAGGTAAATAACTATAGAAGTACTATAGTTCCCAAAGAGTTGGAAGAGCTACACTTGTGATTTTTTTCCCCCCTGTAAAAGTAAGGCTGAGCCTCCCAGCAGGCTCTTCCCCTTGTGATTAGATTCAGCTTCAGAAAGCACCAGCTCCCAGCTGGAGCAGCACCTGCAGCCACAGCTGGGGTGCTGGACACAGCACAGGAGGGAGAGGTCCCACTGAAGATCCAGCAGAGCCCGGCAGCGGGATGCTCCCAGGGCACTGCTCTCCCCAGGGACACCCAGCTCCCTGCCTGAAAAAAAAAAAAAAAAAGCCCCCTTTTTTTTTTTTTTGGAGCAGATCTGATCCCTCTGTTCCATTCTCTGGGTTAAACTTTAGGAGGCACCAGAGGGCAGCTGAAAGCTGATGGGAACCTTCATCACAGCCTAGGAAGGGAGAAAAACAAATAAAACCAAAACAGTCAAACGAATGCCACATCTTTACCTCTAAAGCACATCGCAATTACCAGGGAAGCGCCTGCCTGCTTCACCTGCAGCAGGGATTTAAGGGGGGGGGGCACGGTCTGTCCCACTCACAGCCCTCCCCAGAGCCCCCCTGGCGTGCTCCCTGCGTGTCCTACCTGACGATCACATACATGACGGAGCAGTTGCCCACCAGCCCCACAATGCACACAATGGAGTAGACAACCACAATGGTGATCTTGATGCTCAGCGGCAGGAAGCTGTCCCCCGTGCCGTTGTTGAACCAGTTACTGGGGAGAAAGCTGAGGTTGAGCATGGAGGAGTCGTTCAGCAGCTTCCTCAGGTCAGGGTCTTCCAAAATATGGGCAGGGAAGAGCGGATCCATCCTGAATGCACCAGCCTGTGCCGAGGACCTGGGGCAAAGAGACAGTTTGAAGATGCGCTGAGCAAACGGGGTAGTGCGGGACCGGAGCAGAGCGTGTGTGTGAGATACACTGGGGGAGAAAGAGATGATTTATTGCCGGGGAGAGCACACACACACACATACACACACACACACCCCTTTTAAACCTCCCCAAGAGCATATTTCAGTGGGATGTAACCCTACCAGCTTGGTGCACACAGGGAGCTCAGGCATTTCTCCACACCGCCGGCGCAGGGGACACGCAGGCTGCACAACGCCATCCCTCCCCAGCCTCGGATGCTCCCACCTGCCGGTTCGGTGAGTCCCCAACATACCCCTTTGTGCCCCCAAACCTTCCCCCCCTCTCCCCACTCCTCTCCCAGAACCGCCAGGGCTGGGGGCTCATCCTGGCGCTGGGCTCCATTCCTCCCCCCCCGCCCAGCAATCCCTACCCCGATAAAACGCCAGGAAAAGCCTAAAGTTGAAAATAAGCCCCTTCTGGGTGCTTACCTGCGGGGGGGGGTTCCCTTTTAGCGCTGCTTCTTGCCCTGAGCTCCCCGGGGCCGCATCCAGACACCCCCGGAGCGGGGAAGCAGGGGATGGAGGGGGGGGGGACGACACACACACAAAGCCGGGCTCGGCCGGTGGCTCCGCTTTTGGGGGCAGCCGGAGGAAGGTGCGGGGTTGTGGGGAGGGGGGGTGGAAAGAAGGGGCTGCTCCTCACAGGCAGGGATGCTGCCAGCGCAGGGGGCTGCACCCCGGAGCCCACGTTTTTAAGGCCCACCCCCGGAGCGGGGAGAAGGGGGGGGGTTCAGCACTGCCATCCCCCCCCCCAAGCCCCTGCCGCAGCCCCCAGGTGCGGGGGGGACCCGCAGCTCTACCTGGGGTGGGCTCCCGGCCAGAGGCACCGGGAGATCGGGATCCGGGATGAGGATTCCTCCCTCCCTCCCTCTGCAATTGTGCAACCTGAAGGCTGTGCTAGCGCAGGAGAAGCAGGAATGGGGGATTTGACCTAGAAACTGGCAAAAATACAGGCAGGACTGAGAACCGAAGCAGGGGAAAATTGTTATTTTTTTAGTGACATTCGCTAAAGGTCATTTTTTGTAACCCAAAACATCCTGCACTTTGCATCAGAGTTAGAGTAGCACATTTATTTTAAGGAGTTGCAGTGGTAGATTCACTACCTGAGGGTGGGGTGATGCACGCAGACCCCACAGGTCCATGCCCACCCCTATCGATGTCCCCCACAGGACATTGACCCCCCCCAAGACTCAGTGCCCAAGAGCTGCAGAGGCCCCCAGCTATGTCACCCCACAAAAAAAGGTGCCAAGAGGTCTTTGGGGTCCATCTCCAGTTTGACTGTTGAGAACAAGGAGTTGCAGTGGTAGATTCACTACCTGAGCGTGGGGTGATGCACACAGACCCCATAGGTCCCTGCCTCCCCCCATCAATGTCCCCCACAGGACATTGACCCCCCCCCAGATTCAGTGCCCAAGAGCTGCAGAGGCCCCCAGGTATGTCACCCCAGCAAGCAAGGTGCCAAGAGGTCTTTGTGATACATCCCCAGTTTGATCCCAGATCAGGGGCCGATTGACTGCTGAGAACTAGAGCTCCATGGTCTGGTGCTCCTGGCCATCTATTGCGTTTCCCTCAAGAAGCCATTTCCCAGCAGTTTGGGTTGGGGGCAGAAGCAGAGACTCACAGGTCAGATCCAATTTGCTATTGCCCAGGAGGAGAGGGAGAAAAGCAAATTCTGCTTTATTTCCAGTGCCCACAGACAGCCCAATGCAGAGCTGTTTGGGCCCAGCAGGCACATTCAGGGCTAGCCCTTTCTGCTCTAATTCTGTTTTAATGGATGTCTGGGGATATTTAGCACAGAAGCTGCACCTTCTTTACAAGAAATGTAACGGTATGGCATGGTTAATGCAGGGTAATCTTCCTGAATGCTTCCATAAGAGCAGGTCTCAGCTCTAACAGGGAACAAGGGAGGCAGCAGGACCCAGAGATACAGCCTTTTTGTGAAATACAAGAGTCCCAGTGCTTGAAGAAGTTTGATGGTGGTTTGTTTTTTTTTTTTTATCAGTCCATTAACGAGAGAGTGTGAAAGAAATGCTAGGCCAGACATTACTTTAATTGTTAATGAATTGATTTTCAAAGGCTGAAGGAAGGACAGCAGTAAATCAGTGCAGGAGCGCCGGCTGGACAGCCCAGGAGCCCACGGGAGAAGAGTGGTTGCAAATTCAGCTCCACTCCTTTCTGCTGGCTCCCACCCCAAGAAATGCACTTAGCCCTTCACATACTTATTTTATGTCAATTCAGTGCAGTAAATACACCATGTTCACCTATTTATCTTACTGAGGTGCTTGTTTTGACTCTACACAGCCTAGTGTTTTGGAATGACTGCCGTATAAGGGGATCAGGATTGCCACCTTGACAGCCAAGGCATGTTTTGTGTCTGGGACAAAGAATCTTCCAAAAAAATTCTCATCCTCCATCCATCCAGCATCTTCACTGTCCATCCCCATCCTCTTGTACAGGAAAAAGCCCAAGATCTTCATACTGCATCTTCAGTCCCAATCCTGATTTCACCCAATCCAAATTCAACCATGAAGAGATCTGTCCTTCCAGAACATCTCATGGTGTCTTACCTTCTGCTCTTCTCAGGATCCCTGGGATGAGAGGAGGACAGTCATCTCAAGAGCAGGAGCCTTGCTGGATTACATCTTTATCAGAAGTCTTCACCGTGTCCATTGGGGTCTCTGCACTAAGGCTGAGAAGGAAGGCTACCAAGATTTCATCTGCATGACCCAAAAGGGCTTCTCCCGGCCTCTTTCTTGGAAAGACAGATCACCTCTTCTGCTTGAGGGTTTCTATGCAGACAGCAAGGTAACAAAAGCCAAAAAAGAACAAGCCAAAAATACAACCCTTCTTCCAGGCGACGATTGCCCAGAAAGCACGCCTGAAGGCAGCAGATGACATACTATGAATAGATGCTGGATTTACAAGAAAGTTTCCAGAGCATCAACATGCAAGTCAAACACAATCATGCTGAAAGTACCTTTCCCCCCTCCCCCCCAAACTTCACTTTCTACTGGATGTCTGCAAAATAAGATTCAAACCAAAAATACACAAAAGTTTTTTTAATTGAGTAAATAGACTATCCATAAAAAACAAGAATCTGTTTGAAAATGAGCTTCGTGCATGTTTTGGGGGGGTGGGTTGGAAACTTTCAGAAGCTTATATTATCAAGAACCACAACTAGGGCCCAGGCAGGCTTGTTTTCAGCTTGATTAATGGCTATGTCTTGGCAGAGGCAGGACCCTGGGCTTTTTTCACATACCTATAGCATATCTACTTCCAAACTTCTGGACCATCCATCCAGCTGTGGATGAAGAAACCTTATCTATTTCAAGCTCAACTAATTCAGATGCCAGTAATTACATCCACAACTGTTTCAACCAGGTTAACTTTACAGATGCTGTTTTCCTAAATGCAGAGACTTTTGCTGCTTTTGCAGAAAACAGCCCACAGCCATCTGTGTTTTATAATAGCAAAAACCCACAGGTTGGGGTTTTTTTTTGCCTTTCCTTTCAGGAGGTGAAGATGTCTGCATGTCAGCGCTGTTTTGCCACCTTTAACACAGTTTGCCAATCTGTTTAATCAAGGCCATCATGAGCAGAGAATTAATTTTGCAAGATGTGAAGTCATTTCTCACACAGGGAACAAGCGCCTGGGCTGGCGAGGAGAGGGAGGAAGGCTGGGGATGGAGGGGGGTGCAGAGTGAGCTGGGGGGGCTGGAAAGCAAAGGTTCAGGAATTCAGCCATCACTCCTGGGATGATGGGCACCTACCAAAGGCTAATGAGCTGAATTTGTACCCTGGCTACTGCTGGTGGGTGAGATTTGTTCTTGGGGCGTTAATGATCACACAAATTCAGCAGCCAAGAACAGACACACGCAGGGAGGCACACAGCCTCGTTTCTTCCACCACAAAAGCTGAAAATACCTCTGGTTAATGCACACATCCTGCACCCATCAAACCCGACAGCACTGGCAGAGCATCACCACTGGCAAACCCTTTCATTTCAAGTACCATTAAACCAGGCTCAAGCTGTTTGGTGGGACGAGGAGCAGATGCGACAGGCAGGTAGATGTGTTCTTTTGCTGTTAAACATTTATGCAGAAAAGCACAAAAGGTCATGTTTTCCTCAGCAATTGCTCACGCTTTTCAGTAGTCAGCTGCTGGCTGCTCAAAACCCCCCTCAGATTCACCCCTCCAGCACTCCCTCTGCTTCCTCACTTCACCCTCTTCAGCCTTGGCCTCGCAAGAGCTTCCCTGAGCTCTCTGCTCATTCTCCCCCAAGTTCTCTGGTTTTAAGCATAAATACAAGTCAAGGAAAGCCCAGCAGTGGCTCAGACTAGCCGTGGTCTGCCCAAGGCCAGCGTTACCAGCAAGCACTGGGAGGTCCTTGAGCATCTCTGCTCCCTTCACGGGGTCGGTGCTGAGCAGAGGCATGAGCTGTGCCTGCAGCTGAGGAGGCAGAGCAGGGCCAGCAGGCACAGCATCTTCCAGCAGACCATTAAACACTAAAAGGAATAAAAACACTGCGTTACAGCTAGAGAAGTTAGAGCAAGAGCTCTTTTCCAAAAGCTGGAAAAACCTGCAAAACAGACATGGAGAATGATGCCTAGGATGGTTCAGCTATGGAAGAGCACAAGTCACTGCTCAGCCCTGCACCAGCTCCAGAAGAGCAAGAGATGGTGGATTCAGTATATTAACACTGACTGCTTTACATAATTTCACAGATCTATGGCAAACAACCAGAGCATCAGAGAAACTGGCAGGAAGTAATGAATAAAAATAATAAAAATTCACAACAAAATGAAAAAAAAAGAAAAGGTCTCTTGAGCCCCAGAAGGCACTTCCCCAGAGTGGCCTCAACATGGAGACCGAGAGGTCCTTCACAGAGACAGCGGTGAAAAATTCTGTTCCTTGTGGGATGTTATAAATCACGTAAAAATGCAAGGCGAGAGAGAACCCAGAAGTGGATTATCTGCCCTCCATCGCCAACGGACTCGTTCGATGAATGAGAAATAACATCTATTAAGAAGGGGATATTGACTTCTTCCATATTTGCAATAATACATATTCATTGCAGCTTCTGTATTTGTTCCATCAGACTCCTTTTAGAGTGGCAGAGATTTCCGCAGAACCTTTTGCAATGCTGTGCTTCAGAACAAAGAAAGAAAAACAGAATAACTGTTCCCGAGCAGCCAACGGGGGCCTGGGAACAAACTCATTGGGCAAAAAAGGTTCCTGCTGACTGCAGCTTGCACCTGACACTGCTTAAACCCTGGACCCACTGAGGGGAATAGAGTCAGCAGGATGTCACAGGCCATGTCCCCACCCCTTTCAGAGTCCCTCCATGAACATTGAACCTCTCAGGGACAGCACGTTTGAGGCAAGGTCTCGGGATGTACCCAGCAGGGTGATGGTCCAGAGCAGATCACAGGTGACTGATCCCAGTACAACCCATCTACTCTTGGACCAAGCCATCAATACGAGCCCAGACACTTGCACACAGCCTTTAGCTCCAGCCAGCAGAGAAAGGCAACTGAGATCATCCATCCCCATGGGACTGAGGCAGCTCCACCTGCCTGAGCCCGAGCCATGGGGTCAGGACCTGACCCCTCCATACCCTGGAAACCCAACATTGCTGCTGGCTGGGAACCTCCCTGCCCCTTCCCAAGGCTGTAAGGAACTGA